TATTTCTTATACTAGCCGTTGTATTAGATTTTTTTTTTTATAATAAATCTGCCACCAATTTTCTTTCTAATTTTAGATTTTTTAATTTGCAGTTTATTTTTGTATTATTCGTCTTGTGGTATTTTTTATTTGGCGGCGAATTTATTTCGTTGACATGTTTTCGGAACTACATTTATATAAAAATAAAAAATATAAAACTTTTTAATAAATAAATTTTAAATAATATTTTATTTATTGCATATTGAGGATGTGGCTTATTAGTTGTTGAATGCACTTCTTTTTTTTTTAATACAATAATTAATAATAATCTGTGAAGTTGTTTTAATTGTTGCAGTACACGTCTATTTATTCATTTGTGTACATATAAACATATATATGTAATGCACCTGCACTGTATTTATGTATTTAATTTACAAAAAATGCATACATCATATATAATTTTTCATATAGAAAATATAGAAAAATTTAAAAAAATTTTCTTTGTTTAATATGTATAAATTTATTTCACTGTAATTATTCCTTAAAGAAGCGGATTTTTGCGGTTTTTGAAAATATTGTGGTAGCCAGTTTTAAACTTATTAATAATCATTTAATTGCTGACTAGATATATATATATTTTTTAATTTCATTCTCATTCCTTTTTTCTTTAATTATAATATACTATATAGTAAAATAGGATTAGTTTTAACTAATTTTAGAAATTTAATATAAAACTCTTATCACTATTTTAGTTCATGGGCGTACATGGGTAGGGGCAGGGGGAAACAAAGTACTAAAGAGGGATGTCTTATCACACTTTAAAATATATAATAGTATCATATCAGTATATCAGCGCCCTCCTAATTTCGGGTCTGGGTATGCCCATGTTTTAGTTCTGAAGTTTTTTAAATATTATAATTAGAAATTAAAATAATTTATTTAAATAATTGATTTTATTCCATAAAATTTTTTGAATTTATTTTTCGACCTGTTTTTTATAAGGGTTTTTATATATTTTTTAATACGGTTATAGGTCCCTTACAATAATTCAATATTAGATAATTCAATATAGACGATAGAATAAAGAGGATGACATAGATATAGTTTTAGGAGAGTCGAAATATAGAATATAGTAAAAAATATTAAACGTTGAATTATTTAACAAAAAGGGATCTATAGCCGGATTAAAAATTATATAAAAAACATTAATTGATTTTATTAAATCTAAGTCAATTTATGCAAAATTATTTAAATAATATGTATGATAAATATTAGAAAATTTATCTTAAAATATTTTAAGATATATCAAAAGATATCTATCTTTAACAGATACAGAAATTACAATAGATATGTAATAGCTATAGCTGCTATAGACAAAATCAAGTTTTTTGACATTCAATAATTTTATAAGGAATAAAAATTAAATACATTTATTAGAGAAATTTATCATTGAAATTAGGAAATTAAAAATAATTATATGAAGGTTTTTTAGGCTCAATTATTAAAGTGAAATTAAACATATTGAACTTATACTAATATTCATAAAAACAATTGGTTAAAAGGTTACTTGTATTAATGTTTTAATATGATTTCCACAATATGAGACTATGCTAGTTAGAATGCTAAGCAAATCATAAGTCTAATTTAAAATCAGTGGAGACTGTAAAGTTGTTACCAACATAAAGTCTCCGAGAAACCAATAAAAGCGCTCCAATAAATTTGATTTATGTAAGTAGACCAACAACTTCACTTATTTCCATAGAATGCAATTCAGAAGGATGAGATGTTGTGATGGATTCGCAATTAATTGATTGACAAAATGGCCAATTCGCGGACCAATGAGTTTTTAGTTAACAATTCTTAGGAAACTTTGAAAAGCAATTAATATTAATATACTGACGATTTTTATAAACATTATTGATTCTATGTTTTTAGTACTATTTTATACTATATTTTTCAGTTGACACTTTATCTTTTAAATTCTATGCCATTGACATATAAAAGTGTATATAAGCTCACAATAATAAAACATGTTAAGAACACTTTAAAATTGGTATAGTATTATTCAATTGTGTATTACTTAATGGATTACATTTAATAAATAAAAATAATCCATCATATTAGGAAAAAGGTAAATATCAAAACACTTCGGAAACAGAAATCTGCTAAACATACTACCGCAAACTGCATAATAAAATAAAACTTTTTACTTAACAAAACCCAATGTTTTTATTTTTTCAATAATAAATCTGTCATTATTTTGATATTTTCTTTTTTAATTAATATCTTTAAAGTACTTGTTCACATACTGCATATTCGTATATTTGCATTTTTGATAAGATTATATTCGAGGCCAATAGTTTTTATGAATGAGTTTGTATTCTTGATTGACACTAATCCTTTGAGTGGAGCATAACCTAATGTTTCTTTCCAAATTCCAAACATATGTGGTTGGCACAAAATGAAGAATTGATGAAAACACAAGAAGAGTAAATACTACGGACAAAAGGCATAAGATTTTGATAAGTACTTTCTATTATTAGTGTTTGTGAAAATATTTGCTTTCACACTTAAATAACTGTGAATATATAATATTCTGTAAATTAAATACATGGTCATGAACTACGCTTAGGCGTAAATCGAGATACAAAAAAGTATTCAAAATTGAAAGGAATATTTTAAAAGTATATGTTTATGAAAAGTATTTATTTGTTATGAATGGAGCAGTTCACAAAAATTAATATCTATAAGGTATGTCTTTAGATCTACTTTGAAATAATGTTACATTAAATCATTAGCACAATTATATTTCTAATATATGTAAGACTTAGAAGCTGTAAAGAATTACACTTGACAAATAGTTACTTGAGAAACAAGAACTTAATAGCTCTACTCAATTTCCAAAGCGATATTTTAAAGAAACGCATACACTCGATTTTTTTATCTTATAAAACTTAGTAATGAATTAATATTCGGATTATAAACTTTAAAAAATACTTCACACAATTTTAACAATTTTTTATATTTTTCCTACCTATATCATTATTAAAAGGGCATTAATACACTGCTACCTATGAGAGCTTTTATGGTATTGCTGAATAAAATCTTCTAAGCTAACTTGGGCATATAAGACCTATTGATATTCTTAAAATAGCTATTGGTTTAAGGCGCCAAATCTCATTTCCTCTACTGTGTGTACTGAAAAGTTCCTAGATAATGACAAGGTTCGCGTAAATAAGACAGAATTTTAAAATTTGCTGGTGTCAATGTTCTTTAATTCGATCCTGGAAAGAAGATAGTTAACAGAAGCGTGTTCAGTAAAGAAGTCTGTGAGTTATTTAAATTCAAATCTATTTATTTAAAAAATATTTAAAATTGTTTTTATTATACAAATGGACTCAGCTAAGACATTGTGTACCCAAGATTGTATCACCTCTTAAAGTATTCAAGAGCATAATTTAATGTCAAGAATTCTCAATACGTTATTTTCTTCAAAACAAATCTTAAACTTGTTTTTTTTTTTAATTACGATTTCCTTTTAGTTATTACTTGTATAATAATGCCGTTATTTCTTATAAGGCAAAAGAAATTTGTATTGCGAAGAAAATTGACACCACTTAAAACGTACATAAAATCAAAAATAATTACTGCTCTAAGTAGTTTCGAAGTTATTTTCACTCTTGATTACAAGTTTAAATACGGAAATTCGCCATTTCCTTTTCCGGTTAGTTTTTATGCTTGCAGACACGCACATGCTTAATACTAAATAACGATTGAACTAAGTGGAGTTATTACCGGCAGTTATAACCAACACGTGGTGAACTGCAATCAAGGAGCAAGGAGCTGTTAAAGGAAATATATGGGATTTATATATAGTTGATTTTTTTTCCATTATTATTATATTTATGTTTATATCAATTATATCAGTTCAGTTTTAAATACACTGATAAAAATACATGTATAATAAAGCGATTGTTCTTATATATGGGACATTCTTTAACAAACCGAACTGATTTTGGCATAATTTTTGATTTGGCTAAAATTTTTTTTATGAGTTTTTTTCATAAAATAAGAAGATCCGTATCTCGAGACAAAATTTTGTAATTTTTTTCCGAGGAGATATGGATTCATGGGGTTTTGAGAATTGGCATTGTAGACACATTTTCAATTGGCCACATCTCAGACTATATAAATGATATAAACTTGAAATTTGTTGCATTTTAAAGATAATTGTTTGAACTTTAATGAAATAGTATAAACAATTAAAATTGTTTATATTTAAGCACTAATATTAACCGTTAAAATAAATTTTAAAAAATAATTTTAATAATTTTTTTGAAATTTATTCTATTCTATTTTAATTTATGATTCTTCTTGGCTCAATGAGTTTAATATAAATCATTAATTAATATGTACGTAAACTTGCATAAGTCTGCTATTTATGCTTAACTTGACTTTAAAAAAAATCTGTATATTATTTTCTATCGTAAGCCATGGAAAATCTTTGATTTAATATCTTTTTTTTATATGAATAAATCACTTAAGTTACCGATTTCCCACTGTGTTTTTATCAATATGCTATAATAAGCTGTACAATATGTTGATTTTTTCTTAGATGTTCAGTGTTCCTCAAAAATTCTACTTATGGACTCTTTATCAACGAATACTACTTTGCTATTTTCTCTGTCCTTTACCGGATAACTCTCTATTCCTTACGATACAATTACTTCACTGATTAAATTGTAGATTTGCAGTTTCATTTTCTTCCTTATCTGTCGTTTTAAATAAAATTTATGGTTTAATTGTCGGTATGTGCTCATTGCATTTATGGTATGACTCGATTGTGGAATTTATCCTGATTTATGTGAAGTATTATATTCAAGAATTTCAAAAACTTAAAAATTGCTTTTAAATTTAATCAAGAATAATGTAATATTCTCTCCAGGATTTTAAGTGTTTATTTCTTGTGTTTTGATTTATTGAATAATTTTAAAAATTTTCATTTAAAAAATGAAAAATTTATGGACAACAAAAAGCCACTTGTTTGAAATAAAATTTTTTTGTGTTTTATTACTGAATTTATTTTTAAACTCAGCAAAATTAAATATTAAAATACAAATATCGGATTTTCAAAAATAACTCTACGATAACTATAACACAAACTCATAATTAACAAAAAATTTCGCTAATCCGTGTCGGAAATTAACTTGGTATACGACACCAACTAAAATTGGCGGAATCATTTACGTTCATCAACACACATACAACAGCTACAATAACAACAACAACAACAACAACAAACCAACATATTTGAACTAATTTCACCATTTAACATAAACGTGAAAAGTTCACGAACTTCATATCATCATGAATTTAATGTTTCGTAAGAATTTTCGCGAGGGAGGTGGTGGTAAATCCGGTGGCGGCGGTGGTAAGCTGCAATCAAAAGCTAATCGTACAAAGCGTTCTAGAGATTTGGGCCTCTCCACTCAAACCGATGACATACACTATCGAACTCATTTATTCTTTTCACCGAACCGTTCAGGTTACGATATGGGCGAAGGTAGGCTATTCTATTCTATAAATTGCTTCCGATATCTCATCTGTTAACTTCATAAGTAAATTGTATTAACAACTTCAGCTAACGAAGCGCTATTTATATGCGAAAAATTTTGCTTATAAACTCTTAATAAAAAAATACTGTTTATAAATATTAACTTTGTTAATTTCGTCAATATTGTTAGGTGGCATTATTATTAGAAATGCTGTCTCTAGAAGAAGTCGTCTAAACTTACTTGGGGGTAAGTTGCTAGAACTCGTTTGATTTGATAAAACCTAGAGGAAGATAGGAAATAAGTATATTTTATGGTTTAAAAAATTACAGCTTTTATTTTTAATAGTTAAACAGAACTTACAGATTTTGTAGATGAGAGCTGGTAGAAATGGATAACGAAAGTTAACTACTTTATAATTTTATACCATTATTCGGTTTCATTTAGAACATTTTTGGACTTTTGAATTTATAAACATAAAACATAAGTTTATGGGTTCTAATACGAAAAAAAATGTGAGTTAAGCGGATGATTGATGATATCAAATAAATATTTTTTTTTAATTTTTGAGTTACGTCGAAACTATTTTAAAGTAAAGTCGCTTATTTTTTTAAGAATTTTAACTTTTATTTCGAGTTATCCCTATCACCCTTAAAGACAAAAACAAAAATCACCCTACTAATTAAAATTAAATATAAAATTAAATATATATTATATAGGAAATATAAGTTAATAAAACAAATCACGTTTTCCCGAATTCTTTCGTTTCTCGGACTAAGGAATCATTTACTATATATTTATAACTTTAAAATACAATACATATACGTATAAGCTACATTTGATTTTATGGTAAATGCACCTATTAACTATTGTATGTATTATATTATAAATATGTGATTCATATACTATGTATGAGTATTCAGTGTTAGATTCGAACATATAAATGTTTATGAAAGCATGTAAGAAAATTCGGTACTTTACGGACTCGTTAGCTGATTTTATCGCCACAGCTATAGGGTTGAAAATCTCTGCACTTCTTGATTACGCTATCGTAAGCAACACAGAAGTTTTAAATATAACACCATCTTTTTTACTTATGGATGCAATGGAAGTTATTCATCTATATTTGTAGTCTGATAAAATGCAACAATAAGATTATCAAGTGTTAGTATTCGATAATTACTTGTTATCCATATTACATGTTATTCTGATGCCAATGAATACACTGCAATTTCAAAAAGCCCACTGAAGTTGGCACACATGTTATGTATCTTATATATATACAATATATAATTCAAGGAAAAATTAAGGCAGATTTTTTATGATTAAAAGATGCATTTGAAGTAATAATAACATTTTACCAATGTATTTCTCGACAAAAAAATAATTTAAAAATATATAATTTTTTTTGTATATACGGGTATGTATTGCATTTTGTTTCTCATAGTCATCATTTCAAAACAACATTGGTTATAGTAACGTAAAAGTTTAACTTAGTCTTGCCATTGAATTGGATTCACGTATAACTCCGAAACAGTTCCTTGCAAAGTTTGCAATCCTCTGTTAAGTGGAACTGGCTTAGGTTTCTTGGGAGCTTTTTTCAACCATTCTTCCCAAGCTCGTGTTGCATTTTCCTGACGTAGGGATTCCGCTTCACGTTTACGTCTATCAATATCAAGTTGCTCCTTACGTTTCTTTTCATATTGAATACGTTTGTTCTCTTCCCACTGTAAGAGTTTGACTTTTGTTTTCTCAGGATCGACAGCAGCTTTAGTTTTAATTGTAGAGGAGGTATTAGAAGGGGTTTTCTTATTTAATTTCTCCTCAGACTTCTTGCGTGACTTTTCCTGTAGCCACATTTGAAAACGTAACTCAGATTCACGTTTACGAAGTTCCTCATTTTCTTTCTTATTATCCTCTTCTCTCTTCCGTCGGGCTTCCTCCTCAGACTTTATCTTCCTTAAATAGAAAGAATAAATAGTACAGTTGAATAAACAAAATTATTTTAATATTTTACTTTTTCGCTGATAGCCATGTTTTAAATGCCAGATCTGGATCAGCGCGCAAAGGTAATATCTCATAATAACGTTGATAAGTGTAACCGGGTTCGTGAGCTGATATACCATCAATAGACTGCAAGTCCAGGGGCGGCACAATATCACTCCGTTCCTCCAACAGATCTTGAGATTGCGAAGACCTCATGTAATGATCACTAAATTCCATGCTACTATCATCCACATTTTTCTCAATATAAGCAGCAGAATTGATGTACCTACAAAGCAATAAAAGCAGATCTGTTTATTGCAATTTACTCATCTAACATTGAATCCACCTCAGAAATGTAGCCTAAAGTACTTATTACATTCGCAATATTGCTAGAATATTGAATCCACCTCAGAAATGTAGCCTAAAGTACTTATTACATTCGCAATATCGTTAATATTGCTAGAAACTTACTGTTAGTTAAATTACTGTCACGTATCCTAAAAGTTTACTTCATGGGTGTTCATGTCGTATACTTAAGAACATGGGTGTTCAAGTCGTATACTAAAGAGCACCCATTTAAGGCCGTATTATGCACACAATCATGTTCACATTATATGTGATATAATTGTTGTTTTCAAAGTAAATTGAACATTTTAAAATGAAACCATGAGAAAAATTTTATTAAAGCGAGCCTTTCAATACCACGATATGCTTCCCAAAACAGTTACTCTAAACAATAAATTTCGGATTTTGCATATAAAAGTACAAAATTGACTCTCGGCATAACATGGATAAATGGGCATGAGCAAAAAAAAACACAACTTCTGTGACCATACGTCGTATGACCATCTGCACAACGAGGTCAAGAAGTTCAGAAATGTCTTTCGAACTCCTGTTAGTTAAAAAAAATAAACTTCATCAACACAGCTTATTCGATCTAATTTGATCATATTTTTCAATAATTGAAATAAGCTAACTTATGTAGCAAGTTACATTAATACGCACCTGATACTACGTCTGGAGTCACTAGACGCATTTGAAGCACACTCAGGGGACAAGCTGAGACTATACGCAGACCCAGAAGACGTTGTCATAATTCTAAGCACTAAAATATTGTGTTAAAATAATTAATTTTAAACAATTTTGAAAGTAATTCAAATATATTTCAGAATGGTATACTATCCAGTAGATATTTTTAATCAAATTAAAAAAAAATTGATGTAACTTTCAAATTTATTTTTTTTTTAAAAAATATGGTTGCTATATTAAATATTTCATAATTTTACAATGGAATATTTTATGGTTTATTGGAACACAAGTATAATATATATATAAAATATTGTTCTCTATAGTTAAATCAATCAAAAACAACACAAACTAAATTGCACATGATGTTTTAGATTAAAATATTAAGATACCGTGGTATAAGACTTTCATTAGAACACTAGCGCAAAATCGTAATAAATAAAGGGCCAGTGCTCCACAAAAACTTACAAGACATCGTTTATAATCATAAAAATTATTAATAAATAAGCTTAACAATTATATTTAATAATAATTATAGATATTATTTCTGTTCCTATGAATATGTTATAAATTAACAAACCGATGAATGTTACAAAGCTTATTTATACGAACTATAAACCTTAGAAGAAGCCAAATGAGGGCACCAGTAATTGGATTTACACATTAAAGTTTAAAATATCAATTATTAAGTTTGCATAATATCTATTTCAGATTCTTAAATATCTCTTTCTTACTACATTCTTACTTCTTACTACTTTGCTATTTAAAATTTGGATTGAACAAATGACTCCACAAAAAAACTGCAAAGCATTTTCTTTTCATAAAAAATTTATTAAGAGGTTTTTGAAATGTAGTAAAGTACAACAACAAAAATTCTTTTTTATATTATTTTAATTAATTGAATTTTTGTTTTGAGTATTGCCAAATACCCATGATCAGTGACCTTGGAAATAATTCTTGTATTTAATTATACGTAAATAATCTTTTGAGACTGTAAGTACCAGGAATCGAACTCGTGCCCTGCCAAATTTGAAGCTTAGAGTCAGTGCTCCTTAAACAACTGGCCCAAAGCCAAACTTAACTTTTATGTTCGCACATTTCTCTGGAGTTTTCTTAATTTGTCGTGAAAGTTTTATTAACCTAACTTATTAAAAAGTTTTCACACAAGAGTTTTGTTTGTAATTTAGGTTGTCAAAAATTTTAATTTTGTATTGAAAACAACAAGAATTGACAACTAAAATTACAAACATGACAGCTAAAATTACAGGCAAAACTCTTGTGTGAATTCAATATTAAACAAACTGTTTAAAGATGGAACAGTTTTCAATTAAAAACCTTAAAAATTAGTGTCCAAAAATTTTTTACTGGTTGTGAATTCAGTATTAACAAACTGTTTAAAGATCGAACAGTTTTCAATTAAAAACCTTAAAAATTAGTGTCCAAAAATTTTTTACTGGTTGAGACTCCACATGACTTTTTTTTTTAAATATTTAAATTTAAAATGTTTCTTCAATATGCAAATTGCAAAATGCGATGACGTATTCATTGTTGTAATATTTATTGTCACTATATACTGTTTAATGTAAAAGTTCTTCTCAGTCTTACAACAAGCTTTACTTTTTCTTTAGAAAACTTAAATATTACTTTTGTTTTTCAATTAAAAAAAATACTAAAACATCACTATCAATAAATTTAGTAATTTCCACTAAATATATTTTTAGTTAAGAAAATTGGTTTACTTTAAGTGCAACCAAAAAATTTTTTCTTTATATATAACTTGTGTTCTCTTTATTATTTCGTAGTTAACAATTAACTAAGTTTTAAAATATTTTATAGAAGTATATATTTAAAAAACAAATCTGATAAGGATTGTTATACATTTTTAGTATAGATTTTTAAGCAAATTAGTTTTTCGCATATATATTTATTTATTTTGTAAAAGCGCTTAAGCCAATTTAACATTTTAACAAGTATTAGAGTAATGTTGTGTAAGCGAGATAAATACATTAATACACTTTAACCCTTTTACTCTCAATCATGTACTTTTCGATCATTTCTCGTTGTTTTCATGCATTATCAATCTAACTGAACAATAATCGATTACTAATAACTTTCGTGATTGCAAGCATATCTGATTTTTGGTTTTCAGTTGGCTTGACTTACTGAACATCATTACGTTTTTCAAAGCTTGCTTGGAAGTCAAAGTAAGTTGCAACCCCTCAGCGCATTATGTTGACTTTTTCTAGTAACTGCTTTTTGATACTCTAACGCTTCTATATCGGAACCACACACATTTTTATGAATTTTAAATGCAATTGACACCTTTGCTACAATTGACTGCATCAGCAATAACAATTTGTTTCTCTTCATAAAAGAAAATTGAACTAAAATAAATTAATAATAATAATAATAAAAATAATAATAATAATGATAATGAAAGAATAAAATGTGTCTAGTTTTCTGCAAAAAGCACTGTTTTTTTAATAAAACTCATTAAAAATTACACCAAAGCGAATATAAAATTTTAATAAAAACAAAATTCAAAAAAAGAAAGAATCCTTTACAATAGAACTCATTGCAGAACGATGTAGTGCTTTCTCTGGTGCTTGCACACAATTATCGACTACCGCAACATCCCTTCCACTGCCACCTTTACCTCATGAAGTGGATGCACCACAGCCCTTAGTTGATCGTAAACCGTCCGTATCTGTCTTAAGATGGAACAATGTTAGCGTTAGAACGCGGAATGAACATTTTGCCACACCCATTTTAAACAGTACTTCATCAACTATAATGGCACCAACAACAAATGCTGTCAGGCAAGGTTTGGGCTGTATTCTTATAGGAGCATATGTTGTTCAACCGATGCAAAATTACACATATCTAAAAAATCTAAATCATTTCTACCACTTTTTTTTATTGTTTTAATTTTGTATTAATATTTTTATTATTTAATTTTTTGCATTTTGTTTCCCCAAATCCATCCTTATATAACAAAAACCTAAACTTGTCTCTTTCACAAATGTAGTCTTAACATATCTTTTAAAAAATCTTTTAAAACACTATTTTGTATATTTTATTGTACTTAAATAATATTTTTGCAAATTATTTTTAAGGAATGTGAATATGCAACACAATTTGTTATTGGAAGCTAGACATATTGAATTTGTTTACTAGAGCACGTTTTAATTCATTAATTTTTTTTTTTTTTGGCAATAACTAACGATACTCATTTAATATTTCGAGAAAAACCATCGATAATTCAATAAAAGGAAAGTTTAACTTGTGCCGCCATGTTATCAAATATTATGCTTATATTTCACAATTAGCTTACCTCAGATAGTAATAACTACTCAAATGATTTGAATTTAACACTATTTTCTATTAAATCTGATATTACTATTAATCTAGTTTTACATCAAAAGAACCACATCGACTATAGTCTTAATATTAGGTCTGTTTCACGAGTTACTCGTAGTAAAATTCAAGTAAAACACAAGTAGAGTACAAACTGAGAGCGTAACAGAAATAAAGTGCTAAATTACGCTCTTTACACAGATTTTCATGGAACAGCTCTGTGTAAAGTCTGGTGAGAACACCAGTGCCGCGCAAATAAACCATAAGAAAATTTGAATTCAAACCACAACAGCTGATTCACCCATCACTCAAATTTTACTTGTAATAAAATGTACGAGTAAACCCTGAGTAGCATTTTTAAATTTCGACAGGGATGTTACGCTCTCTCAGATGCTCTCATTTACTCGAAACTTTGCTGGTGGAACCACGGTTGCCACTTGAAAATTTTTTCCTGTACCAAAATTGGTTTAAAAAGGTACCATTTCTGTAAAAAAATTTTTTGAATATGAGTACCAAACGAAAAAAAAGTACCAATTTTGGTACTAAAGTACCATAAGTGGCAACCGTGGGTGGAACGCACTTGTGTATACACATTGTTACTCAAAGTTACTACGCGTAGTTCGTGGGACAGACCTATTATTTAACAAAGCAAATATTAACTTTACGTGATAGGAACTAAAGTTCGCCCTTTATTTAATATTTTAATTTGTCATTAATTTAAGCGAAAATAGAAGACATATTAATTTATTATATCTTATTATTATCTTATTAAATATTAAGATATACATTAGTATTCTGCAACAATATGTTTCTGTTCTTAGAAGTTATGATTAATACGTGGCTTGAAATACATACCAAATTTCAACTCACGGCGACACTACTATAAGTTCTCCAATAGATAAGAAGTTTCTTTATTTAATTCATTATAGGAGCTCAACACTGGTTCAGTAAACCTGTACACGTATTGCTTAATATCTATTAAGTACAATTCAGCAAAAGTAATAAATTTACAAATCGTTAAGATTGTACTATTCATATCCAATAAAGGATGATTTCAGAAAAAAAAAAATTTAATTCAAAGTAAACCGATACGTGTGAAGAATTATTAATCCTTAATATATTTAAATATTTATAAAGAAACGACTGATTGTCTGTTTAAGGCCGGGCTGTCCAGCCAATATAAGATCGCGGGTTAATACAAATCACTGAATAGGTTGGAGGGTCACAGAAAAAATTACATACGTTCTTAATTTTTCCGGAGAAAAATAAAAATACGACGATAATATTAAATTTAGTTTTACTAATTCTTCATTAATTTATCTTTTACAATTCTATTAATATTAACTCTATTCATTTTAGTTATTATCAAACAAAAAATATTTTATTTTAGGCTTATGGCACTGTTTTTTCGAACCGTTGCATAAAGAAATATATACTAAAGTCTTTGGCAATTAAGTTAATTAACATGAAGTGTATTACATTATTTAAAACATTGTTATCCTTTTAATTGGGATACCATAAATATGAAGAAATTGTGATTTAATCAAAATACAACAAAAAAGAATTTGCTTAATACTGATAGATTAGCAACCTGTCGCTGGTCGTACAAATATTAGCCGCGGGCTGCAAAAGGGCTGGAAGCTATGCGTTGGACAACCTCGGCTTAAGGTATAATAACTGTGCAAATAAAGCACTAACTTATAAATTTTTGTTCACACTTTTGTTTTGTTTAACATCTACCATAATAAGCTGTGGCTGAAGTTTAAAACTCTATTGAGAAACATATAATATATTCCAACGCATAGCATACAGTATCACGAATATAAAATTGCAAATATCATTTGACATCTCTTTAACTTGTTAAAATATAAAATGATCTCTTATACTTACCCTCCCTCTCTCTCTCTCTCTCTCTCTCTCTCTGTTGCTCTCACACTTTCTTTCTTTTCAATATCTTACTCAGTTTTCTAATGCTAACACCGATTTCTCAAGAAAAATTGACTTCATATAAAAAAATTGTTTACAAGATCCAAATTTGCTCGAGTATTTCGTACGAAATCAATCGTACAAGTCAATTCGGACAAAATGGATAGATGATTATTTTTGATTTTCGTATTTTGTATTTCTAAAATTTAATTCAATGCAAATAAAAATTTAAATGAATGTTTCAATAAAAACAAAAAGTTTTTGTATCATCAAAGATTCAAACTACTAAGCACAATAAATATACTTTTACTAAGCCATAAATAGTCAGAGATAACTTTCTAATAACTCTAAAGAACTGTTTTCTTTTTGCTTAGATGAACCATAAAGTGTTAAATTTTAAGTTATAAGTTTTGAAGTTCTTACTTTCTAAATCCATCACACTCTGCAAATATGTATCAGACAATAATTTAAAAATAAGAAAAGAATTTTAGACTAAAATTACCACATATTGAATTATCTGTGGTGAGTTCTAAACATACTTTTGTCAATAACATTTATTATATGTATGCAATTAGAATTTTTAAACTTTTATTCTCGTTTAGTGCACATTATTGCATTGTTTGTTTTTAAGGTTATGTTACGTTTTTTTTTGTAATATAATTGTCATTCGCCGCATTTTTAAAAAAAACTAACAAAACGAAGCATATATACTAAACGTTTCGTGTCTCACAAAACATTAACTTGCAACTTATTACTTTTAACTCTTCAAGAATGGTTATATCCAAATATACGTATTTGCAGTGAGTTTCGGAGGTAATGCCAGTAATAATACTACTGCGACCGGTACAACACGTACAGAACCAATTTCATTGGCGACATTAGATCGTGATTGTTTTATTATACCAGTTAATAGTGTAGATCGATTTCTGCCCGAAGGTATACCGGTAAGTTTAAAAAACCCCACAATGTTAAAAAAGTACAATTAATTCAAAGATATTCTTTGATTCCAGTTGCCGCCCCCGCCAGCTGATGGTAACACAAAACCTGCCAGTCCATTAAGTGTATTAGAAGTTTCTGATCCGAAACTGTGTATACTAGTACATTTAATGAGTCCATTAGAACCAATTGATCCAGTTTTGGAATCGCCTCTATCTCATCCGTTATTGAAACAGAGATCTGTCGCAATTGAACTTCTGAATGAGGTACAACAAGCAAATAATGCTGTTGGTGGTATGTTATTAGCAAATATGGAAAAAAGTGGTATATATTTAAATCTTTTAGTATGTAATCATATACTGTAGCTATGTTAAATATTTCAGCTGATTTTCCCTTCATTGCATATTATGTTATTAACTCCACACTAACGGATCCGTCAAACTTTTATACAGGTATAAGAGTTTCATCGCTTTCAAAATTCGAACCAAAAACGTTAAAGTAAGTATAATATTCTTTTTGTTTCTTCTTTGTTGATCAAACTCGAGTTAGTGTTTAAAGCACCCTTACTAAATAGTGTCTGTGACCATTTAGATCATCCACTTCAATAAGAGCTCCATTGAATTCTGATAATAAATTATTTAGATATAACAACAAGCATAAGTATAATCGAAAATATCATAAGAATATTTGCGTTCTTAAAAAAAGTGGTGTTGGAGTTGTTAAATCTTTTCGTTTAGATTTATCAATATTATTGATTTACCAAATATGTAGTGCCAATTTATTTTGTAGTATTAAGTGATTAACCGTTGTGTTGTGTATCAGAATTGCCATTGTTCGCTACTTGGTGCTAACCCAAATCCTTAATCTGTATTAGCTTGATAGCCTATTTTATATTTTAATACTATCTTCGTTTCAGCGAAATTAAGTTGTTTTTTCAAAATTCAGTTTTGAGGTTAGAACGAAATTAAGGAAAATGTGGTACATTAACTTTTTGACCTGGGCGTAAACGACTTTCTTCAATTGAACTATTTGCAACAGATGGTGGTGGTAATACGACACTTGGACTAGTTGCTAAACGTAAACGACATCTACGATTAAAATTAAAGAGAACATCATCTGGAGAATCACTGTTTCCTCTTCACTGCTTTTATCGTTTGCTTTATAATTTAGTTTTTGATTTCTTTTGCATCATCATTATAATTATTCTTGCATCATTTCCATATGGAAAATCGGTGTCTAATTCGACTCGACTTTTTTTTAGTTTCTTGGCAATAAACATGCTCAAATTTCGCTGCTTGAGATATGTACTGACGTCCCATTTGCATAAGTCGATAAATTAATGGACGAAAACCGCACAAATCTTTGTGTAAAGTTGTTAAATCCAATCATGTACGATCATCCAAAATCCACCGGTTGTACACACCATATAACTAGTTTAATTCCATCTGGAGTTATTCGACAACGCATTAAACCACTTGTGCGAAACACTTTTTGATATATAAGTCCATGCTCTGTAAGAGCATTAATATCCCATGTAAAAATACTACCGTCAAACCCAGATGTGACTAATAAATTGTCTTTAGTGGAATATTCTGTATTTTTAACCCAGTTTGTATGGCCGTGTAAGCTGCGAACTTTCCTTTTAAGTTGTCGTATATCCGAGAGAGCCACTATCTAAACATCTAAACATGTTACAAATATACGATTAATCAAAAATTTAACGCAGTTTACTCGGTCAGTGTGTGCCTCCATCATTTTATGTGTGTGATTTGTAGTTACCGCATCAAATAATAGAACATATTTTTTTTTTCGCAAGCAGCGACTACAATATTTCCTTCAGGAGAAAACTCTAAATTAAATACTCCTCCAAATTTAGATTTATTGAATTCACCGAATTCATTTTTCTATTCCTGATAGGATTCTACTGAGGAATACATGCGTGACATTATACTATTTGTGTCATTGAATCTTAGAGGAAGTGCCGAGTCCCTTCTTTTTAAACAGTTTAGATAACTCATTTTTTTTAAGAAAATAACACAACTTATAGAAGCTTATTCAAAGTTTTGTGGTTCAATTGTTTTTCCTACAATTCGCGATTAAATTTATATAATGTACTTAACACAAACGAAATTTTTCTAAACTACAAAAATATTAGAATACGATTGACTGAACTCTCAAAACTAAGATATCGGCATATCGATATTCATCAAAGTCAGCTGGTAGTCTCATTCTTTAAGGGCCATATTATGCAGTATCTCGGACACGGCAAAATTCGCTTACTGCCGATTTTTCTCCAAAACGTATTAGAATTGTAGTAATTTTCTCTTAAAAGGCGCAAATTTTTAAATTTATTATTACACAACACTGTTTTGACTTAGTGCCGGGGCACAAGTACCGCCCCGGCACAACAACAATTGTACTCATGCCGTGCACGAGATACTCTGCATAACATGGCCCTTACGGTTATCGAATTTTTACTATTTTCATTTCTTAACTTTCAATCTATTTTAAAAAAGCATTTGAAATAAACTTTTTATTTATAAAATTTATAAACAATTAAAGCAAATGTCACACAAAGTTCTTACATTTATAAATATATTTTCTTTACAATTTTATTAGTAAGGTACACCTTACATATCTTTAATTTATTGACAATAATATTTCCATTTAATATCCCCCAATTTTTAATTTTATAAAAATATATATATTTGGTAATTGTAAAAAAAAATGCATATTTCATATAAATTTCAGATACACTGCCGCTCATACATTGGACTTATATAGTGAAGTTGCTGCCATTTGTCGTCCTCCATTGGTGTTGGTGTCAAATGAAAGCGGTAGTTTTAAGAAAACACAAACTCCAGCCACTGGCTACATCATCAGTGTGTTCAAGGTATCATTTGTTTTAATTTATAGACATTTTTTCAATTCTTTGTAAACACCTCAATGTACCCTTTCCCCACATCCATACAAACATATGTACAACCATATCTTTAGCATATATAATTGCTTAAATTCAATATACTCATACTCGTACTCGTATGTCAGGAAGTTTATGTGAACGACTGTATTCAGATAAAAATATAAAAACATTGCTTTGTGTGCAGTCTAAAGCTCATAAAAAATGCAAATTCAATCCATTTTTTATTTTTATCTTTCAATGTGTCTGTTTATTTATTTGTATGCAGGTTTTTGAGGGCGATGATGGTGAACGTTTCGAAAAGAATTGGCTGTACTGGACTGGCGCACGTACGCTTTACAGGTGAGCCTCAAGTTAAGCAATAAAATGTTATTAAAAACAGTAAAGTACTACAACGAATGGCAATAAGATGAACAAAACTAGTCATTTTCTTCTGGAGAACTAAATTTTTTATAGTTAAAATGGTATTAAAAAAAATGTACAAAATATGTATATGCATTTTGTTTAGCATTAAAATTGCAAATTTAATAATATTTTTTGCTTATTTTCAGAAAATTTATTTTCTTAAGTATACTTTGTACATTTTTATTTTTATTACAGATATTTGCCGCGAACTGCAGGACTACGTCGAATAGCGCTGCATAAGAGCACAGCACAAAAGGGCGATAAAATGTATCTTTTGGTATGTGAATGCGCTGAATTACTAAAGGACATCACATCAGCTGCTGTTTTGATTCCAGCATTGCGAGCTCGCCTATGTGGCTATACAGGACTTTATAGACCAATCCAAGCATTTTAGTACTGAACATAAATGATGTAAAAGAAAACAAATTATTTGCAAGGATGATGTGAACTGAAATGTGTTTATTTCCGCATAAGAAAATACTTTAAATATTCTAAAGTAAAAAATATAGAACAAATTTCATGTACAAAAAATTTAAAAATTAACTTAAAATTAAGTTTTTATGTCAAAATGCAAATATTCAAATAATTGTCAATTTAATCCTTTGGACTGTGTGATATCGAATACATACGCCGAATATGCAGAATAACACATGATATGTTTAAAATTTTTTAAATTAATTCTTTTAATTATACAATTATTCCAATAAATATTGTGAGACAGTGCTGATCGGTTAACTTGTAAACTAATTAATGCTTTAAATAGATATTAAGAAAACTGAATATATTCATACCAAACCATTTTAAACGACACAGTGGCGTCTTTATAATACAGACAATAACTGCCAACAATATTTCTGTATTATTTAAAAATAAAAATACTATTACTTTTTAATTTTAACGAAAATTACTTAAACTTAAATAAAATGTGTTGTTGAGTTAGCATAAGTAAGCCGCTACTGTAGTTGGTGAATTAAAGTGGTACTGGCAGAAAATTCACATTTGTAGGACCACATAACTAGAGATATTATAGTTATGAATAAAATTTTAACTGAATAATTCTAAATAATATAACGGCTATCGACTATACTGAAGAATATTAGAAAAACTATGCTCCTTATAGGAACAATAAAGACATAAACGTTGTAACATATACATATATATTAATAAAATGATTAATAAAAACTTCGAAAAAAAATTTTGCGACAATATTTGAGTACGTAGAAATGCTATATTTTTTAAATTTCTCATAGACTTATTCAAAATTGCTATAAGCTTCCACAAAATACATATCAATTAATTAATGCTTAGTCTCGATAGTAAGTAACTCCACCAAAAAATTATAAATTCTCACACATTATAAATTATAAATTCTCCAAGTTCTCTTACTAAGATAATATAATCCATATATTTTAAATAATATAAAAATTATTAAAATAATATGTCATAATTTAAAATATTAAATTCAAAACGCTTTTAAACAGCAAAGTTTTTACGCATAATTCAAAAATATTCATTTACAAAAGACTTGCGATATTAAAACAATAATTAAATATAGAATAAATTAATTAATAATGAAAATTTAAAACCAAAATCATATAATTAAATATATTTAAACAATATATTTTTTTTTAATAAATTCAAATTTTTATTATTTAGGCAGATCATAAATAGTATATAAATTAAAAGAGCTGATAATTATGTGACACTTGAGGTACATTCAATCGCTAAAATAAGACTCTGATCTGGTATCGCAATGGACCTTAATGGTCTACGGACGGCCTTTTTGGTCTGCCAGGATTACCTAATACCTAGGGTACATTCAATTTTAAAAGCAGAAAGACAGAAGGCTTATGTTAGAAATACAAACTACTTATAAATACACTCATTTTGTTTTTTAAAACAAAATCAAATAAATTAAAATCTTTTTTCACTAAAAATATAAAAAATAGTGAAAATTAAATTAATTAATTGTTAGTCTCTTAACATTATTTATATACATATATATAAATAATTAAAGAATATAATAGAGAGAAAGTTTAAAATCCAAAAATATAGTTTTTAATCAATAGAATTTTTTAATATAACTAATTTTTTTATTTAAAAATAGATTTCTTATCATATTGTATACAAATTTCAATTATACATATAATTAAATATATAAAAATAAAATTAAATGATGCTCTAGTAATATAACATCTTTCTGCAATGTATCTCTTATATAAAAGCTGTAACTTGCGCATAAAATTAGCTTAGCCTCTCGATAATAAAATTATTAATATAAGAATAATTAACTAAAATTTATGATTATAATAATATTAATAACAACAATTGCTGTGATAACACACAACAACAACTTATGTGAAAAAGTCGCTATTAATAGTTTTTAAGCTACTTTTAAACTCAACTGTAAATATTTTACAAAACAATGCAGTAACATCAATAACTTTAAATAAATTTAATTAAATACATAAACGTTAAGTAGTTTTATTAAATAATATAATATAATTTAATAATTTTATAAAAAAAAATTTTCTTCATGAATTCGAAATTTAAACTTAAATTTATACAGATGTGTTTTGAACAGTAGTGAGCTACAACAACAAAAATTCATTTTATATTATTTCAATTAATTTAATTTTTGTCTAACCATACAGCTGTTTCGAATATTGCCAAATACTCATTATCAGTGGTCTTAGAAATTATTCTTGTATTTAATTATTCGTAAATAATTTTTTGAGACTGCAAGTACCAGAAATCGAACCCATACCCTGCCAAATTTAAAGGTCAGAGTCAGCGTTCCTTAACCAATTAAATTTATACATATATAAAACTACAACAGGTAATTGCTACTCATACGTCACAGGTAACCACTTTACATAAAAATCACAATTTATCTACACTTTTTATAAACTGCCACTCCTTATCCTTTCATTAATATAGAATTTAAAAAAATTTTGTTATTCTATAAGTAGAATTTATATACTATTAGTTTTTAAAACATTCTTT